CAGAGCCTTCCAAGTAGCTGGAACTACAGGCATGCACCACCATGCCCGGCTAATTTTTTTGATTTATTGTAGAGATGAGGTCTCACCAAGTTGCCCAGGTGGGTTTCGAACCTGTGGGCTCAGGCAATCCACTCATCATGGCCTCCCAAAGCGCGGGATTACAGACTGAGCCACCGAGCCCAGCCTGTGCTCACTTCGGCAGCACATATACTAAAATTAGAACAATACAGAGAAGATTAGCATGGCCCCTGCGCTTCCTGTGTCTTAAAGGCAAATTGCAAATCCAGAGGAAACCAGAGGAAGACCATTTCCTCTTGCTCTGCTCCAGAGAGCAGAACTGATCTGACATCACCCTCAGGATGGATCCCCCATCCTGTGGGCCACACGTACCAGTCCAAGCAGGAAGCTGAGTGTGGATGGTGGATGCTCTTCTTACTCTCGGAGTTGGTCATGTCCTTCCCCACCAGCGACCTGAGGAGAGGGGGTTTTAAATGAAAGCTCCCCTGGCCCCAGACCCATTGCATTGATGCTGCCCCCATTACTGTCTCTCCCAGAGTCTCCCAGGGCCCAGCCATGGTGGAACTGTGCCGCAAGGACTCAGCACTGACGGTGCTGGACGAGGAGACGCTGTGGGAGATGATGGAGAGCCACCGCTACAGGATTGTGCGCAGTATCTGCCCCAGCCGCCTCACCCCCTACCTGCGCCAGGCCAAGGTGCTGTGCCAGCTGGACGAGGAGGAGGTGTTGCACAGCACCCGCTTCACCAACAGCGCCATGCGGGCCGGTGAGCAACACGGGCTGGGGGCCGTGCTCCCCTGAGGGCCCCCAGGGAGGATCCTTCCAGATCGCCTCCAGCTGTTGGGGGCCCCATCATCACTCCAATCCCTGCCTCCATTTTCACATGGTCCCTTCTCCATATCCCCTGTCTCTTATAAGAACACTTGTCACCAGCCTGGGCAACTTGGGGAGACCTCGTTTCTACTGTAAATTTAAAAAATAAATTAGTTGGGTATAGTGGCACAGGCGTGTAGTTCCGGCTATTTGGAAGGCTGAGCCAAAAGGATCACCTGAGCCCAACAGGTCGAGGCTTTGGTGGCTGATGGTGCCACTGCACTCCAGCCTGGATGACAGAGTGAGACTCTGACTTAAAAAAAAAGAACACTTGTCATTCGATTTAGGCTTACACCTAGGCTGAGGCAGAAGGATCTCTTGAGCCCAGGAATTCAAGACCAGCCTAGACAACATAGTGAGACCTGGTCTCTACCAAAAAAATCAATAAATTACTGGGTGTGTGCCATGTGTCTATAGTACCAGCTACTTGGGAGGCTGAGGTGGAAGGATTGCCTGAGCCCAGAAGTTTGAGGCTGTGGTGGGCGGTGATGGTGCCACTGCACTCCAGCCTAGGCAACAGAGCAGAGATTCTGACTCAAAAAAAGGTTTAGGGCCCACCTGGATATCCAGGATGATCTTATCTCAAGATCTTTAACGTAATAATACCTACAAAGGCCCTTTTTCGGAAGAAGGTCACACTGTCAGGTTTCAGGTGGGTGTATCTTTTGGGGGCCACCACTTAAACTACTGCAAATGCTTTTGGGATCAATTCTGCCCACCCGCCTACAGGCCTCATGGAGACATCTAATGAGTTTATGGTCCAACTAGTTGTGTTCATTCATTCAAAAATGGGGATGCCAATGGCTTTACCTTCTAAGGTTGTTAAGAGATTTAAACAAGTAACTGTTTTTTTTGTTTGTTTTTTGAGTTGGAGTCTCACTCTGTCTCCCAGACTGGAGTGCAGTGGCCACTCCCGGCC